CCCCAAAACCCCAAAACCCCAAAACCCCAAAACCCCTAAATATGCCGAAATGGTGAACTATGATAATTTAAATATAGGTAGAGGATTAAATAATATGAGTGAGAAGGAACAAGAGAGTTATAGTGGTAAGCTGGAGGGATGGAGAGGGAGGGGTGGGGAGAGGGGGGAGAGGGGGGAGAGGTGATAGGTATTTTGGAGGGAATTTTGGGGAGTTTTAGAGGGGTTGGAGGAGGGGAGTCACCAATAGACTGTAGGTCACCATTTTGGATTCTTATGTGAGGTTTTGTAGGAAAATTTATGATGGGGGCTGGAGGAAGTAATATTCTTGAAAGGAGTACTTTAACATCCGTAAAACATCCTCATATGATTGATTTTTCTATTTGAGTTCGAGAGCATCCCATACCCTATCCCTCTCCTAAAATCTCTTCCATAAAGCCCCTTCTTCCTACAAGTTCGCACTTATTTTACAGAAGCGACTAGCTGTACTATAAGTACAGGCTTCTGTAGGACGAGGTGAAATTGTGGGAAAGGGGTGGATTTGGGGTAATTTTGGATTTTGGGAGGAGGGGAGGAAGGGGTTTTGGGGGAGGAGAGAGTTTGGGTCAGTTTTTGGGAGATGGAGTGATTTTGAGGTATAGGTTCGAGTGATAGAGGAAGTGGAGAGAAAGGTAAGAAGGATTAGACTGTGGGGTTGACTGTTTAGATGATGAAAGCAGCAGTAGTCGGCAAGGGAAAAGTTGGGGAAGCCAAGAAACTAGTAATGGGAAGAGATCTAGCGAGCAAGAGAGCATAGAATCGTCTAAAGAAGATAGTACGAGTAATCTGAAATCTGATTCAGATTCAGATGCTATTTATGATAATGATGAAGATAGGGTTGAGTAAGTTTTTTAATAGGAGCTTTTCTTTTAGAAAGTTACCTAGTTTAGATTTACTCTTCTTAAAGATGGTCCTAACTTGACAAAGTTCCCAATATTTCTGAAACTTATGTTAATTTTACTGTTTAGTGATCTCGATCACAATCCAATAGTACCAAGAGCAAGTGCTTCTTTTTCTACTGAAACAGAAGAAAATAGTATTGGCCAAGAAGACCAGGTCCATAGCATGAGCGATGAAGAAGATGTAGAAAGCGTGAGTCAGGAGGCAGATGGAGATGAAAACTCAGACGACCAAGAAGAAGCTGAAAGTATAGATGTAGACAAAGAGCTACTTGAATTTACTCAAAATGAAAAAGTGTACAAATATACTTTGAATGAAAATACCAAGATTGATATATGGGATGTAGGCTTAAAAGATCTATCCGAAGAGCAACTTGAGTAAGTGTAATTTAACGAATTGATGTAAAACTCTCTTAATAACTTCACTTAATCTATTTGAATTCAAAAATATTACTCTAACCAAAGACTAAAAACGAATCATAGAACTTATCTCTATCTTTAATTTGCATGCAAAATTTAGCCTCCTTTATGTTCAAAATTCTCTCAATATATCCTCCTTAAAACCCGCTTCCGCTAAATCCCCTCAACCTATCCAAAACCTATCACCCTCACCCACCTCCCAATCCCCAACCCTAACCTCTCCTTCTAGAAAACTTCGACACCAAGACCTCCGCATAAAACACAGTAAGTCTTCCACACCTCCACACCCATGCAGCCAAAAACCTCTAATTTCTAAAACTCCCTATCGTTATACAGAGACTAGCAGGAGAGAGCCAGAAGGAAAAGGGGCTTAGCCATATAAAGTTGGGATTGTAGTGTGTTAATCTTTGTGTAGAGGTTGAGCAAGAATGGCTCAGGCTTAATAATGAAGAAAAGAAGGAGCTGCAGCATGGGAGTATATATATTGGGGATACTGTTCTTATTAGGAGTTATGATGAATATGACCATTCTTGAGAGTATCTCAGGTTAGAAGAGTAAGTGGGGTTAAAGGAGTGATACTAAGTCTGGATTCTCTACCTTTCAAGCTAAAATACCTTTACAGTCTGTAAATAATAGCCATTACCAATTTTTTCTTAACAAAAGTCCTTCATCAAATCTATATTTTCTTCTCTCCATAAATTAAGAGTTAGACTTCACTACATTGCTAAAGTAACTCTATCTGATATTAAAGATCAATAAATTGCTTACACTTTTTTATAACTTGATCCTTAATTCGACTCTGAAAATGCCTTAAAAAGGGGTTTCTATTAGATAATTGCTCATTATGTGTAGCCGAGAATGGATATGGGCCCAAGACGAAGCGAAAGCAGGCCTGATCGAAATACAGCCTGTGCTGAAAGAGCCAGTTTACTCAGTCTACCAGTTGGAAACACAGAGATGTGAGGATTATCCCAACTCAGAATGGAGCAAAAAGGGAGGTCACAACTGATACGAGTCTGAAATCCAAGATGTTCAGTATAACTTAACATATCTGCACAGAAAGGAAAAGCATCCTTTGGGGCTAAACAAGACTTTCGTTTTGAAATTCCCAGGAATTAACGTCAAGGAGCATTATTTTGATAAACATGGCACATACCAAAAAGTTTACGTGAGGAAATGGCTGCTCCTGAGAGCAAATGAAAGTACTGAAGATGTAGCTGTAAAACCAGAAACTTCTTACTTCTTATCTACAATCATTGATAATAAGTTCTACTTCTTGCAAAAAGGATGGGATCATAAATTGAGTAAGGCTTTAAACTGATAGTATTTAGCAAGACAAAGAGAGCAAGCAAAGACTATCCAATTCTGTATGTTCAAGATTTAATCGATATAGATATCGTTGAGAAAAACAAAAGAGATAATTTTGATAAAGGTAAACAAGAGAATTCCTATTGAAGATTAGAAGAATTAATCAATCTTTTTACTTTGGATTTCATATTGCCAGCATATTTATTCATATGTGTAATAGATAAATTCTTTTCTATAAATTGAGCAACTCTGCTTCTCATATTAAAACTGATCTTATAGCTCAGAGTAGAATAACCCGTGATTATTGATATTGTCTGTTTGATTATGAATCAAAGAACTTAAATCTAATTCGTTATACAAACAATTATTTTCTTGGCTCAAAGAGATCCAAAGAGATCATGACTACAAAATACACATCATTCTCTGATATCCCAGCCCATAACTATTTTGAGATATATTATTCTTCCTACCAACAGAGAATTGTCTTCCAAGCTATACTAAAATATGCTAGCTGCCTTGATGATCAACCAACTCTGAAGTACCTTGGATGGCAAAATGGGTGCCTAACTTTGGTTAATTATGAATTCATCTTCGAAGTAGAGCACATTAAGAAAGGAGACGGCATATTTACAAATACCCCATTCCTTATTAAAATTCCGAACTCTGATAAATACTTAAGAGCAACTCCTTCTACAGAGAAGGAGGTTAATAACATCACATGCGGAAAAATTGACTCTAAGAACGCTAAACAATTTTATTTCCACCTGAGAAATATGCAAGCCCATGATCTCTCCCAACTGAGGATTAGAGACATAGACAGGAAACTATGAGATGCTTACTCCGATCTTGAGAGAATAGATAGAGTAGGAATCGATAACATAAACGCAAATGAGCTACTTGAAACATATACACAAGTGAAAAAAGATTTGGATAATGCTCCTCTCTGGCTCGAAGATAGAGAGCCAAATAAGTGGAAATTAGGAGTGTTAGAACGCATGTGTTTAAATGGTATGCTAAAAATAAATTTACTCCTTGCACATATCTAGGAAATTCTAACTTAATCTAGGCTATTACAATGATAAACAAACGATCCTTTCTCACAACACCTTCAATTACCAATGGTATTTGGAAAAAGTCAAAGATCTCAGAAGAAACCTGATTCTCAACTCCATCGATCTCTTCGAAATCGGTAAGCCATTACTCAAATCCCCCTCCCTAACTTCCTTCTAGAAATCCACCCATCCTTCTGCTACTACGTCCAAAGCGAGTACCTCCTCGCTCTCGGACTCCGATCCCAAAACCCTGACTTCTGCTCTGTCCTCAAACAGGCTAAGTCCATAATCAGTGACCCAAGAGAATGTGCCGAAGGAAATAATGACTATAAGTAAGAATTTTAGTAACTTTTAGACGTATTATGATGCTACAGAAGATAGTGGCCAATTGTTATAGGAGAAGGGGAGATTATTGTATTTATGAGAAAGAATGCTTCCTGCCATTTATCCAATATGAGCTTGGAAAAGATATGAATTCATGTAACTTAAATAACTTGCTTGGGTTAATCACTAATAAATTCAGAGATGCATGGTGAGTTTGGAATAATGGTAGTATTAATTTGCCTATAATTGAATACGTTTGTGACCAATTAAAAGATGAAATTGGACCTATTGAAAATCTAGATATTGATGAAATCATTAAGAAGTCTCAAGAATATAAGCAAGAGCTCCTAGAAAATGAAGAATTTCAAAGAAATGCATTCTATGAAGGAAGAATGCAAGCTGCCATCATGGCTGATAACCAAACCCTTAACTTGAGAGAACTTATGAAAGTGCTGATTTTCAGTTATGGTATCAGGCATGGATTTGAGCACGATATTGAGTTTATTGAAAAATGAAATGACTTCGTTTCAAATGCATATAAAAATGAAGGCATTGATTCACATATTTTAGGTCTCTTACTGAGGCTATCTTGAAATATTAATGTTCCCTTCTGCAATCAAATAGTTCCTTCAGATATCCAAATAGAAAATATTAAAAGACTTCTGAGCTCAAGTCTCAAAATGATAAAATCAATGAAAAGTCATTATTCCGCTCCTGACTTGTTCTTTATATGAGAAACCTTTGAATGCGTAATCTGAATGTTGAAGAATTCCAATTATGAAAAAGTTGTTATCACAAAATTGAAGAATCACTTCAAACTCAAACATCTACTAAGACTATTAACTAATTTTTCGAAGAGATTCTTATTAGCCAGGCCAAACACTTTTGACTCCACCAAATTTACACAGTTGTACGACTGGGAGTTAATAAAAGCTAATAAAGCTGCAGTTGACGATAGGGCTCACGATGTTGACGTAGTAATGGAATCTTATCAAAGAGAAATCTGAGCCAAAATTTTCAATATTCTCAACTTAATATGGCAAATAAAGAATGATAAAATGAGCAAAGGGAAGTCTGGGAAAAATCTCCCATATATTCCTGAAATAATTCTTGATCCCTCTTCTTCAACCCCAAAAGAATTCGCAAAAGTATTGCAAAGGATCATCATTAAATGGATAGATTTTGACAATGAGCCTGAAGTCTCAAAGCAAACTTTTGATTTCATTTGCAGATTTGATGGCAAGCTTCAAGAAGTTCCTCTCCAAATAGATAGAGATAACGACGAAAACTTTAATGATTTATGCTTAAGAACTCTCCCTTTCTTCACACATCTGAAAGAAGAGGACAAAAGAGACGTACTCTTGCTACAAGAAAGAATCAATAAGATAACTATTAATTCCCCCAATATTGAAGATGATCACTTTAGTCAAGAAGTGTTGCATAATACTTACAGTCTAATCTCCTTGCTTATTAAAATAAACAGCTTAATAGACTGGAAGGATGACACAGACAGTAACTGCATCAGAATTGCTAACCAATTCGTGCATAATTGTTACGAATACCTGATTGTGACGATCAAAGATCCCCAAATAAGAGAGTGTGTGTGGAGATTTGACAGTAATTTCTTGTCAATCTGTTGGAATAATAAGCTGTGCAATTATTGCCACAGTACTCTGATCAGAGATATTTTGTCAAAGAGCCAAATTGAACGCTTCAATTTAGATTCAATTGATGTGTTTAAAGGAGTATTATCTAAAATTGGTAATTTATTAGAATGGGTTGATGACACCTTTGTTGATGATACAGACCAAGAAATAAAGACTCCTTCAAAGTTTGATAGGAAGATTGAGAAAGATGATTACAGAATTCTAGAGTACTTTATTAAGAATAACGGTACTGAATTGTCTGAGAAATCAGAAGATACTGAACAGTTGTGGGATATTCAGAAGTGTGAAGAAAATGATTCTGATAATGAAAATTATCCAAGCTGAGCCTTTGAGAGAGATCAAGAATCCAAACTCATGAAAATTTTAATTCAAGAGCTTCTGAGACATTCAAGAAACCTTGAACATAAAGAGGACATTAAAAAGTTCCAATTGCTGATTTATAAGCTCTTTTCCACAATCGAAGTTCTTGACTTAGCATTGGATACTCAGAATCATATTCTCCAAAGCTTGGAAATGATCAGTGATCTTGTACAAAACGACAGAATTATGGAGAATTCTGAAATTAGATACATGTTTTACACAGACCATTCGACCAATGCTATTTTATCTCTAATTCCAAAGAAATATAGCTTAATTGGTGAAGGAAGAAAAGTGAGGCAATTTGCTTATGGAATATTAATAAGACTTATGGAAATAGACACTGCAGCTGCTAGAAAAAGTTTCCGAACTTGGACTCATATTGAAGACAATAAAAACATGTTCTTTAGCAGAATTCAAAGACTAATAATTCAATTTAACACTTTCTTCGTAGAGGAGAAATGATTCTGGACAATAAGCAATAACTTAGGCAAGACAGATTATCAAGAGTTACTTATGACTTTGCAATGGCTAACACTGTTGTGTCAGAATGATGAGCATTGGCAAGAATACCTTAGAAAACAAGACAACTCAATCCTAAATCAGAATATCCTTCTTGATGTAGTTGAGCTGATGAGGACAAGTATTCTGAGGTATCGCCACGAATATGTGATTGACCTTCTCAGAGCTCTGATCAAATTTATGACTGCCTCAGTCAATGGAAAAAATGAAACAATAGTTGACTTATATGTCAACACCAATGTGGTTAAATACTGCAAGGAAATTCTGACAACTGGCCTTTATTCCAACGAGATTGAATTTATCAAAAATATTAGCAAAAATTCTTCCATAGAAAGATCAGAAGAGATGGAAAAGAGCTTAGAGCCCTCTATCAATATCAGATCATCTAAGTAAGTAAAAAAATTGATTAAGTGCAATTTTATCTCAATCCTTTCCAATAATCATATACTGATCGATCCCAAGTTAAAAATTAGACCAGTCTTTTTTGTGGTGTAAGACCAGTTTTCTTATTTTAACGAATGCATAATTCCTCAGGTCATATGTTGAAATTTCAACTCAAACTAAGAAAAATATAATAAAGGAAATAATTTAAATTAGAATTAATGCTCAGGACCGAAAGCTTTGAATTTTTACAAAATTTATTTAACCAAAACTGTAATTTCTCATGAGATAGCTTATCTGAAGCATAAAAGTTAATCTGGAACGGCTTGCACTAAATTAGCTATAATGTTAATCATTCAATTTAGAAAGCACAACCTACTGAAAGAAGAAGTTCTATGGTTCCTCAACTGCTTACTAATTCAAAGCACAGAAGATGAAGTGAAGATGGTAGACAACTACGATGTTATTAATAGCCTTATGGTCCTTAACTATGCTCAATATAAGATCTATAAAGGAAGGGATTATGATCTAGAACTATTCAAGCCTGACTCTAAATTATCAGAAGCTTATAATATCAATGTCGGGTTCCGTTGCTATCACTTAATTTCGAAATTATGGGGGAATAATAAATTGCCACAGTCAAATTGAGTCCAAAATATTGACGAAACAGGCGCTTTTAAAAAGTATTGGAGATTACTGAGAATGCTAAATTTCAAAGCATTAATATTTAGAAGGAGATATCAGCCTCCTTCTCAAATATTTTATAAGCCTTTGGATGATAAAAGAGACATAGTTGCTGATGCTACAAGGTTTTTTGATGCATATTGCTCTGATATTGAAATAGTTATGCCAAATGGTCAATTGGAGACAAGGCATTTTGAAATACTACCTTCCTTCCTGTTCTTGACTCAGACTGAGAAAGATGAGTTCTGGTTGAATGCAAATTTGGACAACAGTAAAACTGCAGTTATTTCATTCATGGGATTTGCTCAAGACAAAGTGGATGAGTTATTCATACAGCAAGAGATTCAAGAAAAATGGTTCTGACTTAGAGAGGTTGCAATGAAAGATAATTGGTTGACAGACCTTGGCAGAATTCTTATCATCTCAATAAATCTTATATTGTTCTTTTCATTAGAAATCAATGAAGGGAAGGTTCTTGATAATCCAAGCTTCTTTGAACTGAGCTATTATACAACAAAAGTTATTCTGACTGTCCTTGGAATTTTAATGCTGATATTTTTCACATACATGACAACAATACAAGGAATTGTCATGATAGGGATACAGAAAGCAAAAGCGATCAGAGAGGAAGACCAAAGTCATGAAAGAAGTAGATCCTCTCGATTATTCACCTTGATATCATATATACTTAATCATAAAGAAGAAACCCTCAGGACAAGGAACATCTGGTGCTTACTATTTTGCTTGGGCTTCTCTATTGCTGGGATGTCTGTTGATTTCTTCTGGTTCTCGTTCACTATGATGTATCCTTTGATATTCTCTCCTCAAATCTTAGAGGTGACCAATGCCATCTGGAACCCTAAAAGAAGAATAGTCTCGACCATAGTACTTAGTGGTGTTGTTCTCTACTGGTTTGGCGTTATTGCTTATGTTTTCTTTGGAAGCGAGTTTGATGGGGCTGTGGGGAACTCAAACCAAACACTGAGAAGAACCTTAGCTGTCATATTCGATGCCTGGCACAACTTTGGATTAGGAGCCTTCTTAACTGAATGGGGAAGATCTGCAATTTATGAAGATACTGGTAATGGAGAGTATGAATATAGACTCAAGGGTGCAGTCATGTGTTTCAATTTCTTGTTCTTCTTTGTTGTCAACACTCTTCTTTTGAATATCCTCAGTGGAATCATTATTGATAATTTTGCAGAGAGAAGATCTAAAAGCGATGCAATTCATGAAAGACAAAATGATCTCTGTTTTATTTGTGGAGAATTATCAAGTGATTTACCTGATTTTAAGAGTCACTGCAAGTATAAACACAATATCTGGGATTATATGTGCTACATTGGCTATTTAAAGGCTATGAAAAAGGAGAAAATGACAGACTATAGAGATATCCATGTTTATAGCTGCATCCAACAGGGTAAGAACGACTGGTTCCCTGCTTACCAAGATTTTGTGAGACAAGCAGCATATAAGAAAAAGTCAACAGATATTCTCGGTGAAGTTATTCACGATTCTCCTTATCAAGGTATTCAAAGCCAAGAAGATTCCTCCAAACTTGCTAGGTATTCCCAAGGAGCGACTTCTCATAAACACGACAAACAAATGTTCAATCTTGAGCAAACCTTTAGAGAAGAAATAACGAAGCAGAATGAAGAGACTAAGAAGCAAAACCAAGAAATGAAGCAAGAGATCAAAGAGCTGAAATTGATGCTCTCAAATTATGTAAAAAAGAATTCTTCTTAATTATTCTATTTTCAATCATGAAAAGACAGTCGGGGTTTTGGGGTTTTGGGGTTTTGGGG